AGCTGGCCGCCAGCAGCCCCAGCCTGGTGGAGGCCTCTGGAGGCCTGGGGGAGGAGTGCGGGGTGCTGGGGAGCACGAGGCCGTCCAGGCGGAGAAAGGAGACCCCAGGTAGGTGGCGCGGAGTAGCTCCCTCCCAAGCCCGGGCCCACCATGACTGTTGCACAGTGTTGTGGAAAGGCACGGGGGACCGGGGGTCTCCTCCGTCCGGGGGTTCTAGGGGTCCCTGGACAGCGAAAGGGGCTGCATCTGGTGAGCATCCTGGGCCCCCAAAGGAGCGGGTTCAGCAGATTCAGGGACACACAGGGCAAAGGCAGTGGGCAGGGCCAGCCTGGCTGCAGGGGTTGGACAGCGGAGTCCTGGGCTCGGGGACGCAGGGACTGCGACTTGGTGGCCTGGGGCAGTTGGCCCACGAGAGGCTGAGCCACAGAGCTGGGCTGTGCAGGCCAGGGGCCAGCGAGCCTCGGGAAAGGGGCCGCCCTGTGCCCCAGGACATGGTACCTCCCTGCACTGTCCTCTGCCCTCCCTCAAAGGCCCCCATGTGTCCTGCTGCACCCATCACTGTCTGGTCCCGGTCCCTTCCCGGCCTTAATCCCCCACCTCAGCCCACTGTGTACTGACATGGCCGGGGACCCGGTGTGGCCGAGGAGGGGTCGCCCATGAGGAGGAGCCAGCACGTCAGACCTACAGGACTTCAGGTGGGCGACAGGACCGGGAGGAACCTGCACGGCTGACAGCAGGGCGCTCAGACAGGGTGTCAGCTCTTTGGGGTCCCCTAGGTTTGCAAGGTGAGGAAAACAGGGCGGATGAGCATATCAGCTGGGTGCTCTGGGGACAGGGGCAGCTGGGGACGCAGCTGGAGTGAGGTCTGCGAAGGCAGCGGCCTCGGGACACAGGGGTGACAGGCATTCCTCGGGGACCCTGAAACTGCTGAGTCTGGGCCCAGGGAACTCAAAACGGATTTGCCCTAAAACCCAGTCGATGCCAGGGGCTGCAGGTGTTTGTGGAGCCCCCTCCCCCGCACCCCCAGTGACCCGGATGTGTCCAGGCCTCCCCTCCCCCAGGCGGCTGGAAGACCCGGGGCGGACAGCTGCGGCCACTGTTGTTTCCCCAAAGTGTCATCGCTACTGTGGTCGGGTTTAATTTACGGCAGGAGGGATTTCGCGGTGAATTCCTGGCCGAGTCAAGGGAAGGTCGGGCTGGAGTCCTGTGCCGAGATTCGAGATTCGTCCCGCTCTGCCCTCTCCCACCAGGGCGCGTCCCGGGCTCCTGGGTCGGCCCTGGGTCTCTCCTTGTCCCGGACCTCGCCCATTCCTGTCCCCCTGCCACGGAGCACGCGAGAGCCACGCTGTGCACTGGCCTGGCTCGCGCGTGCACGCACACACGCACACACGTGCACACTGTGCTGGCCGCCCGAAGTCCTGAGTGTTCTGACACCAGCTCCACGGCCGCCCTTCCGACCACATTTTCCTCCCCTATTTAAAATATTTTGACTGCAGTAGCACAGAGCATCCTGTCTGCGAAAGCTGCCATGAAAACACTTGAAAATTAGAGATCTCCTACAGCCTGTGCTGGTTTCCTAACCACAGCTTGCAGCTTCAAAAAGGATGCCGGTCTGGGGACACCTCACCCGGAAAATCTCCTCCTTGTCACTGTGGCCAAAACATGGCTCACCGTGTGACCTTTACCATGCAGCCCTTTGGGAGCGCTCTGTGCAGCCTCCTCCTGAAGACAGTGTCCTGTGGCAGATTCCCGTCTGCCCCTGAAGCTCTGAACCCCACAGCCAGCCAGCGAGTCCTCCTCCCCCTTCCCAGCCCCCACTGTCCCCCATCTGGGGATGCCTCCTGGAGTGGACCCTGCGGGATCTTTTTGGGACAGGCTGATGGCGTGTGGCATGGTGTCCTTGCTTTTTATCCACTCTGTCACGTACAACACAACTTCTGCTCTGTATAGCGGAATAGCAGCCCTCTGTGGACGGACATCCTTTCCTTATCTGATCACCCACTGGCGGGTGCTCAGGAGGCGCCTGACCCTTAGCAATGGTAAACAAGGCCGAAACGACCTCGTGTGAGCAGAGCCCTGGTTCTACACCGGGAAACAGAAAGGCTGCACATGCGGGAACCCTGGTCCTAGAGTTTGAGGCCCCCAGCAGCCCCGTTTACATCCATACGGAGAAGCGAGGCCCCGACTTCCAGCTCTCCTGTCTCCTTAATCAGCCACCCTCACACTGTTCTGCCCCACACTCCCCACGTGAATGGTGCTCAGGGCCTCTGTCTGCTTGCCAGACGTCTCTGCATCTCCTTTGCAGAAACCGAAATCCTTCCCTCATTATTTTCTCTCTTTTTTTCTGTACCAGGGAACAAACTCAGGACTTTGTGTTTGCAAGACAGGCACAGTGCCACTGAGCTAAATCCCCGACTCCACCCATCCTTAACTGGGCTACTTGGGGTTTGCATTGTTGTCAAGTCGCAGTTCTTTATACATTCTGAATGTTCACCCCTCTCAAATACCAGTTTGCAAAATCTTTCTTTCAATCCTTAGGTCACCTTTTCACCCTGTTTGTTGATTGTTTCCCTTGCTGTGCAGAAGATTTTAAATTTGGGGGCTTTTGAGAAAGGGTCTCACTATGTAGCCCAGGCTAGCTATGAACTCAGAGTGATCCTCCTGCCTCAGCCTCCTGAATGCTGGGATGACAGGTGTGCATCCCCAGGCCCAGCTAGCTTCACTCTTAAGTTTTTATTCTTTTTATGCTATTTTAGATGGAACTGTTTTCTTAATCCACCCTTCAGAGTGTCCGTGTTTGTAACAGAGACAAGGCAGTCTTGCATGCACCCCGCGGCTGGCGATGTGTGCGTCATGCTAACAGCTCCACCTCTGGGGTCCACCCCGCGGCTGGCGATGTGTGCGTCACGCTAACAGCTCCACCTCTGGGGTCCTTGGCGTTTTCCCCACAGATCAGGGCAGCTTCGAGCAGAGGCTGCCCCTCTTCTCCGCTCCACTCGGATGCCTCTCATTTCTCCTTCTGCCATTGCCCTGCCACAGTGGACGCTGAGCAGATGTGGCCCTGGGCTGGCTCCCAGCCCCTCTGAGCTGCCTGGGCTGTGCAACTGAGGCTGGCTTAGCACAGCTTCCCTGTGCCCAGGACAGGAGCAGTAACGTCCCGGGAGAGAGTGAGGAGCCCTGCCAGCGCCCAGGGTGACAGCGCCCAGTGTGGACATGCGCAAGGGCTGAAAGCTGTGTGCACTTAGAAAGGGCTAGAAGTGGTCAGCAGCGCCAGCCCGTTCACCCCAGCGTTTCTCCAGTTGGAAGCACCATTAGGGTTTTTTGCTTGCTTGTTTATGTTTTGCTTTGTTTTGAGACCAGATTTTGCTAGGTAGCCCAGGCTCCCCTGAATTTGCAATGACCCTCCTGCCTCAGCCTCCTGAGTGCTGGGATTACACTCCTGCTAACCTTTAGGTTTGTCTTGTTTTGTGCTTTTTTGGTATCGAAGATCGAACTCAGGACCTCACACTTGCCAGGCAGCGGGTGTGCCGCTGAGTTACATCCTGGCCCACCTTTAGGTTTTAAGAGCATTTCCACACAGCCCAGTCTCCTCAAAACAGCCCTGGGAGGAAGTTGGAGCCCAGAGAGTCTGAGTGCGCAGACTCAGGGCTTGGAGCTCTGCACAAGTCCCCTGGGCCATCTACTGCTGAGCTGTGACACGGGTTGGGGACCCGGGGACTCTGGGGCAGGATGTGATGGGATGGAGACAAACCGCTTTCCCAGATGCAGGAGTAACCTGCCAGCCTCTCCTCTGTTCTGGGCTGGGCGAGGGGCACAGGCTGGGGAATCTGAGCCCGGTGGTGGAAGAGAGGAGAGGAGGGGAGGGAGCCTTGGAGGCCCAGAGAGATGAAGCAGGGCGTGGCTGGGCTTGTGGCTCAGTCTTGTGCCCGTTTCAGGGTCCGGGGAACCAGACAGGTCCGACCTGGCTGATGCCACCTAGCGGGCACTGGGGGCCACCGCGCCAGTGGGCTGGGCGCTTACTGGGCGACCCCTGCCCACCGTTAAAGAGCGCTGGGTCCCTGCCCCGCCACGCGGGGTGAACTCGACTCTGAGCCCCGTCTTCTGATCTCCAACCCTGGAAGACAGGGTGCTGAGTGGGTCGAGGCCTGGTACAGACCAGCCCCGGACCCCGCTGTGTCTCAGAGAGCCCCCACCCCAGGGCCCCTGGCTCTCCCGACAAGGCCCTGCAGGGACCAGCTCTGTGAGCTGACCATGCCCAGGAAACCCCTACAGGGCCGCCGGAGCTCGCCTAACCCTCGGTCCCTTAGAGTCCAGAGCCCCATGGCACTCCCAGCGCTCTGGGAGCCCATGGCAAGCTTCAACTTAGCAAGTTAGTGAGCCCGTCCCAAAATAAAAATGCTCTAGAGAGCTGGGGCCTGGCTCCGTGCGGAGGCCCCGGTCCAGCCTGGCCTGGGTGTGGGCAGCTGCAGGGCCAAGCCCGCTCATGCCAGTGGTGTGGGACCCTCTCAGACCTGCAGGGGCCTCGCGGCAAGGCGCGCAAAGAGCGGACGGCCTTTACGGAGGAGCAGCTGCGGGAGCTGGAGGCCGAATTCGCGCACCACAACTACCTGACGCGGCTGCGCAGATACGAGATCGCCGTGAACCTCGACCTCTCAGAGCGCCAGGTGCGCCCCCTCCGCCGGCCAGTCCCGGGGGTTAGAACGTGGGGGGACCAGACGGAACCGGCACCCACCAGTGCCCGCGGGCGCGGGAATCACTGGTTGCCAGCCAGAATGCGGGTCCTGGGGTTCTGGGGAGCAGGACTCACATCTACACCCCGATCAGCTCCACAGAGGGTACCAGGTGGGACGGACTCCGGGGGACACTGTAGACAAGCGTCCCTGGCCCTCTGTGGCTCCTGGTCCTGGGTGATGACTAATAATAATAACAATGGTAATAATGACAATGCTGCCATGGGTGGTGCACTCTGCCCGTGTTGGACATTGACCAGAAGACAGGCACGAAGCCCATCTGCCCCATCCCGGCCCTGAGACCTCTAGAGACCACTGCAAACAGGGTCACAGTTCCACCTGTGCCAGGCACCGAGGTTCCCAGGAAATGCTGAGCAGCGGTGTGGACTGGACTTCACTTTCCAAATGACCTGGGACCCTTGGCAGGGTGGGGTAGATGCCGGACCAGGAGGGGCAGTGGACGGGGATCGCACAGACAGGCCCTGTTCTGCAAAGGGCACAGCTGGGGACATCTGGGGAGATGAGTGTGTCCCCTTTGGCCTTGGCTCCCCGGCCGGGTGAGGGCAGCAGGTGATGGTTCCAGCCCATCTGGGGGGCCCTGGCTCCTGGGCATTTGTATGGGGTGCATCGCCCCCACCCCGAGTGACCGGGCTCCTTGGCTTCCTCCCTAGGTCAAAGTGTGGTTCCAGAACCGGAGGATGAAGTGGAAGCGGGTGAAGGGGGGCCTGCCTGTCTCCCCCCAGGGCCAGGACCCCGACGATGGGGACTCGCCAGCCTCCCCCAGCTCAGAGGGAGAACAGAGGACGCTGCCCACCCCACGCACCCCACCCTGGCACTGACTCAGGCACGGAGCTGCCCGGCGTCTCCCTATCTGGCAGCCACTGGCCTGGCTTTGTCTCTCGTCCTGGCAGAACCACACGGCCCCACCGAGCTGCACAGATCCAGAAGGCGCTCAGGAAGCTGCCTCTCAGGCCTTGGCCACCTTCTCCTGCCAACCTCCGGCAGCCTGGAGCCCCTGGTGACTCACAGAGCCATCTCCCTTCTCAGCTCTGTGGGGACTGAGGGGTAAGGAGGCGAACTGGGCTGCAAGTGTCTGTAGGACCAACTGGGAGAAGACAGAGGCAGCCTGGGTGGCCCTGGCTCCCAACCACACGGGCTCTCTGGCTGGCCCCACTGATGGCCCGGCTCACGGGGGTGCAACTGGGATGGAAAGGCCTAGGCACGGAGCAGCTCCCCTCTCCCAACCTGCGATCTTGCCGGGAGCTCTCTCAACAAAGTCCACACCGTGGAGCACAGGGCTGGACAGTGGCTCCCATGTCCCGGGCACAGGTCACACAAGGGCCGGGTGGAGACCCAGGACAAAACCTGGGGCAGAAGGTCCTCCAGCCACCTGTCCTGTGCTCCTCAAGGACCGCAGCCATACTCAGGACAAAGCTGCAGCCCCTCCTGCAGCGCGTACGCCCCTCGGGCATCTGTCGTCCAGTAACTGAGGGCGGGTGTGCAGCTCCAAGGAAGCTGCCCGAGGACAGGTGGCCGCACAGCTCAGGAGCCACAGCCCTGGCACACGCTGGAGCCACATGCTGCCCACCCGGTGTTCCACTTGGGGTCTCTGGTCCCAGTTGGTGTTTCAGGGGGAGGTCAGCCAGCGTGGGGTCTCTGGCGAGTAGGTTTAATCTTTCCTGTGCAGAAACGACCCTCCCTCCTCACAGTGTGGCTCTTTTCAAGGGCATGTTTCATATACCTTCTGAGGTGATATCCATCCAACTGCACCAGCTCAGTGCACTTTGGTTGTTGCTGTTGTTGGTACCAGGGATTGAACTCAAGACCTGGCGCTTGCGAGGCAGGCAGGAAGGAACCACTGAGTAAATCCCCGGTCCTTCAATTCACTTATAAGAAGAGAATGGAGAAATAAAATCAATAAGAAAGTGAAGTTCAGGCTGGGGATTTAGCTCAGCGGTTCTGCTGCCTGCCTTGAAAGTGCAAGGACCCGAGTTCAATCCCCAGTACCAAAAAAAAAAAAAAAAAAAAAAAAAAAAAAAAAAAAAAAAAAAAAAAAAAACCATAAAGTGAAGTTCCCAGGCCCTTTTCTCCGCAGAGCTAAGAGTCACAGCATCCGTGTGTAACTTTTTGATTACCCCTGGACTGTCCCCTGATGTCCAGAAGCAGCGAGAAATAGGAAAGACTCCTTTACACCTCGATATCACCTTTGGGTTCTTCCAAACGGGGTGCAGATCTGATCATCAGAAAAGAAAGAAAAAAAAACATTTAAAAAGCAAAAAACCCTTTTCTTCCATGTAAATATATTGCCTTGTTTTCTCGCTTAAAAGTCTGTCTTCCAATTTCCTTAGCCGATGAGACACCAAATGGTCCAAGCTCAGTGAACAGGAGATGAGCTCTTTTGCTAGTAAAGGAACCTTGCGGTGCTGGGGTCTGGTCTAGGAGCTGCTCACCCAGGCCAGCTCTCTGCTGTGACTATGGGCCCAGCCCAGCCCTAGTGCTGAAATTCAGAGTCCTAAGGAACGCAACAGTAGCAATAAAGTGGCAAGAAAAAATGTCCCAGCGTCTGCCGTCTTTTTCATTAAAACACTATTCATCTCTTCAGGACACCAACTGTGGACAAAATAGGAGAGGCCAAGGAATAGGGAGCGGGGAGGAAAGGGAGCGGGCAGGACCTGACCAGGACTCTGCGCCGAAGCAGCCGGACCCGAGGGCGTGGTTGGAAGTGACGTCACCAGCCCGTTGGCCGGAAGTGAAGCCACGGGCCCTGCGAGTAAAGATGGCCCGGCCCGATCCGGAGCCCGGCAAAGGGCGGGGTTCAGCTGGCTACGGCCGCAATCGCAGTCATAAAACTGGCGTCTGGGCTCTCCGGGACTCCCTCCTCCGGTCCCCATGTGCCTGGTGTCCCTCCGTGAGTGCCTCTGTCCTGCAGCCAGCTCCCAGGGCGTCCACCTCTCGGCCCTGTGCCCTGCCCAGGGCGCCCGTGCCCCAGAGCTCGAGCTGCAATCACAGGGACGCGATGCTAACGCAATCCCCGCCCGGAGCCTCTGTGCGCTCTGCAAACCCATTGTCCCCAGCTGAAATTGTCCCTGTCCCCAGAGCCCTCCCTGCCCCGCCCCACATGGCCGCAGCCTTGGTCCTGGGCGCTTCGCTCGGGCGTGACCTCTGTTCTCAGAACCCCATCAGCCAGTACGGCCAAGGCAGGAGCAGGGCTTGGCAGTCGGGGTGGAGAAACTGCGCTCTCGGCCTGGGTCACCTTTCCCCTCTCCTGGGCAAGGTCCTCTCCCCGCCATTGCCACAGGGAGGCCCCATGCCCCGCAAAGTGTGAGCACAAGTGAGAAGAGAGCCCATGCATTCTGCAGGGAGGAGCCCAGCAGTCACTGGGCTCTGCCATCCTCTTCCCTCCGCGCTAGGCCGGGTGCCGTGGCCCCTTTGACCGGGGCTCCAGAAGGGGCAAGACAGGGTCAGAGCCAAAGCTGACCCCACGCCTTCACACATCAGTAAGCATGGAAACTTGCCCTGAGCTGGACCCAGTGGCACAGGCCTGTGATCCCAGCACTAGGAGGCTGAGGTAGGAGAATCGCCACAAGTTCAAGGCCAGCCTGGGCTACATAGCAAGATCCTATCTCAAAAAAATAAAATGTAATAAAGGCTTGCTGTAAGCTGCTGGATCCTGGGCCCATTTGCCTCTGTGGCCAGACAGGGCAGTGGCTAAGCTGACTTAGGACACAAGCCTCCCACCCAAGCAAACGCTTCCCATGTGCGTCTTGTGTGGTCTTGGTCTGTTGCTTCCTAGATGACCCCAGGTGCCTCCTGCTCTGCGAACTGCCCTGGTCCCCGTCTCCACCTGGCCCTGCTGCCTGCTGAGTCCTGCATTCCGGTTTCCACACCACGAGCTCCCCACCCACACTCGACACAAGCGTGGACACCCATGATGTCACTGCTCTGCTCCTCAGAGCCAGTCAGCAGCCAGCCAGTCCCTTGGCCTTCTGCAGAGAGTGCCCCGCCCCAACTCCTGCCCTGCCAGCCTGCGTTCACTGCCGTGGGGGGAGTGAGAGCCTCCAGCACCGCTGCCTTCTGACCTGGGGCTCCTCACCTCCCTGACCACCGGAAAACCCAACCTTGTCCATCCCAATTTGTTAGTCGTTTGAGAAGGGTCTAACTCTAACTGATCTGCAGTGATCCTCCTGCCTCAGCCTCCCAAGTGCTGGGATCAGAATGTGAGATTTAGAACAATAATAACAAAGCATGGAAAAATGTAAAATGTTACACTGACACAGATGGCGAAGTCGCCTCCACATTAACACCGATGAGGGGCGTGGCTCTTCCATGGGAGGAGGGGGGCTTCGGTCCCCCACCTTGGTAGAGTGGGAAGGTGTTTCTGGGCCCAGCTGCAGCCGCCCAGGTGTGGCTGCCTGCCTCCCACTGTCTGTGGGTTTCCAATGGGAACAGCTCTGTGCCACCTGGACAGGGCTCCTGCTGCCAGTCTGCACCCTCCTTCCCATCTCTCCGCCAAGGCTCCTGGCCCAGCTCTGTCCTTCTTGGGAAGAACCAAGAAAGAGCCTCAGATTCTCCGCAGCCTGTCTCCATTCTGGGCTCGGCTCTTCATGGCTAGTGTCGTCCCAGGCCCACCAGGAATAGGTGAGAAGCCCACAGCCGATCCCGCCTGGAGTTCCCAGCCCGCCAGGGTCTGTACCAGCCTTGGGACCCCTCAAGTAAGCAGCACCTCCATTTCCTGGGGAAGGACAGGAAGGAAGCATTAAGTGAGCACCTACTCCATGCCAGGGTCCCCTGGGCCTTCTGATCAGCCTTCAAGAAGGACTCGCCAGCGCTGAGGGTCAGGGGTCTGTGGCATCAGCCCAGGTGACAGGAGAGGGGACGGGCCAGGGGGGAGGCCTCAGGGCTCTGCTCGGCCAGCACTCTGGAGCCCCACACCTGCCTGTCGCCAGGGAAGTGGGTCCTGCGGTGGAGCTGGAAGGCAGGCCAGCCCGCGGTGACCTCAGGCTCCTGACTGCAGGTCCCTGGGTCCTTCTCTGAGTCCATCACACCTGTGCAGGGCAAAGGGAGGCTGGCATCACCAGCCCTGGCTCTCTGAGCTGTGGCTCCTCCCTGGCATTTCCTAAAGGAAAGGGACTTTGGGAAAACCACTGTGAACAGGAAGAATTTATTTTATTTTTATTTTGTTTTTGTTTTTTGTTTTGAGACAGGGTCTCACTCTGTAGTCCAAGCTGGCCTTGAACTCCCAGCAATCTCCCTGCCTCAGCTTCCCAAGTGCCAGGATGACAGGTGTGCGCCACCACACCCAGCTGGAAGAATTGAATCTTTTTGCAGAAGGCTTTCCCCTTTAAAAGAAAAGAGTCCCTGTTTGCATAAAGGTCTGGCGCCTGTCATTTCTGCTGTGCACGTATTTCCTGCTTCCCCCACTATGCAGGCAGAGATGGCCCCAGTGTAAAACACCGCTCAAGCACAGAGAGAAACTCCACCGGCTCTGCCGGGTTTGATGTAAAACACCCACTGGTGTTCTCACATTCTCATCTTACACATAAACAGGATGGGGCTGGACCAGAACTGTCCCCAGGAGCCAGGAGCTGTGGTCCCAACCCTGACCCCTTCCCCTAACGGCGTGGGAAAGAGCGGGCGCCTCACGGGTCTGGGCCAAAAGGCAGAGCAAACGGAGCCGCCAAATGGCCAAGGCCCTCCTGCCCTGTGGCCAGGTCCCAAGGGTGGGGCTTGAGGGTCCCTCGCAGGCAGCCCTGACAGAAGGGGGGCAGATGAACACGGGCCGCATGCAGGCTGCAGGTTTGAACCCCGCTTCTCTCTGACAGTGCACCCTAGGAGATGCGTCCTGCCTTGTAGAGCTGGGTTTCTGTGTGAGCTCAGGGACTCCCTGAGACAGTGGCTCGCCGTCCTGAGCCAGGCATGGAGTGGTGTCATCTCAGCCATTTTCCATTTTAACTCAGAATCAGTGCTTCTTCTGTCGGATTCTCCGGAGTTGGAGGGACGTGGTCGCGCACTGGGGCAGGACCAGCATGACTAAATCTGGTCCATTCCCTGGGGAACACCTGCCAAGCTGGGGCAGCTTGGACAGCCCAGCCAGGCCCACCCACAGGAGAGCAGGGACGTGGGGGACAGGGCTGATGGGCTCTCACCTCCTGGGTCTGGCTAGGGGCCATGCGACAAGCTCCTCACCCTCCTGTGTCTCCGGTGGGGGCAGGAAGCAACTGACGCTGTGGCCACCTGCTTTGGGGGAACAGGGCGTGCCCCACGAGTGCTCCCCGAGCGGCAGCTACTTGTGCCCAGGCGATTCCAGGCCTTGGTGACAACCTGCCACGTGCCGCAGGAAAAGGAATTCTCAGGCGAGAAGGCCGGGGCTCAGGCTCCGTACCAGGCTCAGTACTGCACCTCGTCTTCTGCGCCAACTCAGCCTGCCGTGCCGCCACTGCCGGCGCGCGGACTGTGATGTCCATTCTACAAGCAGGAGGCTGAGGCCTGGGGAGGGGCAGGGCTCGGCCAGATGTCGGGTGCTGCAGCTGCTCCTCTTCTCGGGCAGCTGTCCTGAGCTCGACCCGGACTGGCCTTCTCTGCCAGGGCCTCGCCAGTGCGCCTGGCCTGGCTGCTCTGCCCCACAGACTAAGCTCTCCCTGCCCCTTGGCGTTGTGAATTATCCGGATTCTTCCCAAGAAAACAGAAAACAGAGGTGGGAGAGTCAGGGAGACAAGGGGGGAGGGACATGCCCCCCAGCATGCAGTGGAGGCTGCGCCACAGCCTGGCCCTCGCGCGTCTGCAGGTCGCCTGGCTCCGTGCAGGCAGGGCTGTGGCCCCGCCGGCTCGCCCCGCAGCAGCCATGGTGGACCATTACCCAGGGGAGACACCTGGGTCCCCAGTGGAACCTGAAACTGCTTTCTCCTTTCCAGATGAAGCCTCACGTCTGGAGAGGGACGCGAGATGTGACAGTTTCCGGTTTCCATCTGGGTCCACCAAAGCCTCCTGCGCTCCAGGACGGGGCTTGTAGGAAGAGATCCCTCCTGCCCGTGTCCCCAGAGGGTCACCTCCGCCAGGCCACGGCCTCAGAGCTGCGTCCTTGGACAAAACCTGGGCTGAAATGAACATCAGCTGCTTTGAGCTGTGAGACTCAGCAAGGGAAAGTGAGCCGGTCGTCGCTGTCACTAATAATGAAACGCACACCTTATAGCAATGCACTGTAGTAAAGGTAACTTAAAGCGCATGAACTGTTTGCTTCTGGATCATCCCACTTCATATTTTTGGATCCCAGGTGAGGTGGGTGGCTGAAGCTCTGGACGTCAAAGCTGCAGGGGTTGACTGTCATTTCTGAGGGGTTTAGGGCAGCTGCAGCGCTGGCCTGATTGGGCCTAGCCCCAGAGTGGCCAGAGCTGGACTTGAGATCCAGCCCTCCCGCCACAGCTGCTTGTCCTCTCTCCCTCCGGGAGGTGATGAGGAGCAGCCTGCCAGGTGGAAGGAATCGCAGGACACTGGCCAAGTCGCGCCCACTCAGCAGCAAGGAAGTGAGAAGTTTGTCGGTCATTAGGGGCCACTCCCCCAGGCTCCCGCTTCAAATCCAGGGCCTCATCGGCCCCTCCCATGACTTCCCTCTCTCTACAGCGAGAATTTCCATTGTCGAGAGGGAAAGAAATGTGCTCTAATCCCTCTGTTCCATGACTTCATCTCCTCTCCTCCTGGGTACCCCAGGAGGGAGCCGGGGGCTGGTGCGGTAACACTGCCCTTCCCAGTCCACGGGCCCTGGGGGATCTGGCAGGAGAGGGGGCCCAGGGGCTGACCCACACCCTCCTCGGTGGCCAGAGCTGGGACCCATGAGGCCACCCCTCCCTGCCCCAGCCCTCCCCGGCGTCCCCAGTGTTTCTCACGGGTGCTCCTGCCCCGTCATTTCCCAGACGCTTTTCCAGTGCTCTGCCCAGCAGCTGCCCCAGGTCTTTGCAGCACCACAGGATGGAGCAGGGCTGCCAACAGAGCACCCCGGGTCCTCCCGACCCCTTCCTCATCTCAGCTCAATGTCACCACTGTCTGCGGGCACTTTTCCTGGTCAGCAGCCACAGGCTCCTCACAGTGCTGTCCTGGCCACCTTAACGGGGCTTTCGGTGGCTGGGACAAGCACCTGGGACGCAGTGTAGAGGAGGAGGGGTTCATTTCGGCTCCTGGCTTCAGGGGTTTCAGTCCATGACACCGGCTGCAGGACTTCTAGACCTGGGGCCTGGCAGGAACGTCACCATGGAAGGGCCTGGCGTGGGACAGCAGCTCACCTCACGGTGGCCAGAAAGCAGAGGGAGAGGGAGCGAGCTGGAGAGAAGGGACGGGACAGAGCCGTGGTGCTGTGGCCCCTTCGTCCGGGGAGGTCCCATCGTGTAATAAGCTCCTCAGTGAATAATCCAGTTGATGAAAGTAGAGTCCCGTGAGTGGGCGCAGCCACAGTTGATCCCCCAAAGCCCATCAGCTCTGAACAAGAGATTTGGGGGACATTTTAGCCCCAGACCATAGCAGCTCCTGCTGCTCTCCCTCCTCCAGGAAAACCACACACACACACACACACACACACAAACACACACACTGATGCATGCACACACCGCCTGGCTTCTCCTTGAAGACGCTACAGTTCCCTGTGCTCATTTTTATCGTGCATACTTACCACATATTTCCCCGCAATCATCACTCACTCGGCCCAGAGGGTGAAACTCCCCACATTACATTTGTTCTTTCCACAACGTAGCAAAGCTCTTGGTCAGCCGTATTCCTGTCCCCAGGTGGGAATCAGCTCCCTCAAATTCATTTCCCCGAGTTCAGTTATCCAGGCACTCAGAGTTCTCTGCAGCCATGACCCAAGGGACCTGGCTCCTGCTGAGCAGGCAGCAGCCCTGGGCACCATCCACATGGTGCAGGTTTTTCAGATATGCAGAATGCAAGAGTAATGAGGTCAGGGAGGCTGCCACTCAGTATTCACAGGAAGGCCTGGGAGCCCGGGGTGTGTGTTCCTGAGAGGGCCATGTGTGAGTGCTGAGTGTGAAGAGAAAGTTCAGTGGAGACCCCAAGAGGGTGGAGAAGTCAGGAGAGTGGATCAGCTGCTGTGGAACAGCACAGGCAGTAAGAGGGTGGGACTACCGGATTCAACGTTTGCCCTGATGGGTTTCAGTCTTACTTTGGTCTGATTCCTTTTTGTCACCGTATTCACCCCTTTTGGAATGGGGACGTTTATCCTGGGCCAATACAGATTAGCAGTATTTAACTTTCTTCTTTATTTTTAAGGGTGATCACAGCTAAGAAGACTCTTAGCTTGGGTCACAGAGGAGACGTTGGACCCAGACTTTCAGCAGTACTGGAACTGTTAGGACTCGGGTGACTTTTGGAGGCAGACTGAATATATTTTGCATAATGAGATGGGCATGAACTGTTTGGGGGCCAGGGGCAAAACGTATTGGTTTAAATCTCAAATGTCCCCCCAAAGTCTCTTGTATTCAGAGATGGGCTTTCGTAAGGTAACTGGATTATGGGACTCTACTCATCGGTGGACTGACTCACTGATGAATTCACAGCCACTATCTTGTCACGAGGTGAGGCCTGGTGGGAAGAGGCGGCCACTGGTGTGTGCCTGGCTCCCTACCTGCCTTCTGTCTGCTTCCCGACTGCCATGAGGTGAGCAGTTCTCCTCTGCCAGGCCTTTCCGCCATGCAGTCTCTGCCTTGGAACCAGTCAGCCAAGGACTGAACCCCCCACCACCATGAGCCAAAGTAAACTTCTTCTCCTTAAAGTTGTAGATGTCGGGTATCTTGTCCCAGTGACGGGAAAGCTGACTAATCCAAGAGTAAAAGGCATAAGAAAACATAGGGGTGAGTCTTCATGACGCTGGCTTTGGCAGTGGATTTTTAGACTCGACGCCAAAACAGAGGCAACAAAATTTTACATAATGGGCGGGGAATTTAGCTCAGTGGTTCTACTGCCTGCCTTGCAAGCGCAAGGTCCCAAGTTCTATCCCCGGTACCCCCCAAAAAATTTACATAAATTGAATATCATAAAAATTAAAAAGGTTTGTGCATCAAGGGACTTTATCAATAAGGGAAAAGACAACTTATGCAATGGAAAACAGTATTTCCCACTATGTATCTGATAAACATTTAGTAGCCAGAATAAAGGACTCTCGCAAGGCAACAACTAAAAGAGAATCCGATCGAAATGCAGGCGATGAACCTGAAGAGACATTTCTCCGAGGGAGACGGGCAGCGAGAGCGTGAGGTGTCCGGCATCGCTGGTCAGCAAAGAGATGCCAGCTGCACCCAGAGAGAGACGCTGCCCTGCGCCGAGATGGCTGTGACCACAGCAGGCAAGTGGGGAAGGAAAGGACCCGTGTGCACGCAGGGCAGAACAGGGCCCTCGCAGTTCCTGGCAGGGATGGAAAGTAGGGTCGCTGCTTTGGAAAACAGCTGGTCGATCCCTTTGAAAGCTAAACACAGAATTGTTTACAATTCATTTCTGAGTCCATCCCCAAGAAAAATGAAAACATTGTCTCCACCGAAGCCTGCGCAGAAATGCGCATGGCTGCGTTACTCGTGACGGACGGGAGGCAGACACAGCCCAGACGCTCTGAGTAGACAGACAAGCTACGGAGGACAGATGCAGTGGCACAGTGTGTGGCCGGAAGGTGGGACAAAGGACAGTTTATACCGCAGCGTGGATGGCCCCGGAACCTGCCGGGAGAGAATCTGGACACCTCAGTCACCTGCTTGATAATTCCCTTACGGTAACAAGTCCAGAACCAGCAGATCCTGCAGATAAAAAGCAGTCGGGCAACACAGGAGGTGGCAGGAGGAAAGTGCCTGTGTTAAGGGCGGGTTGACGGAGAGTTTGAAGCCAGGGAGGTGAGGATGGCGTAACACTGACCCCAAGCGATGCCACAGGAGTCTTCACTTTAGGGGTTCGCTGTATCTGAAATGAATTTCATGCCAATCGAAGAAAAACCCAGAAATTATGGAGAACTGCACATTTGCTATGTCTCTTAACCCCCTTTCATTTTTATTTATTTATATCTTCTTTTGAACCGGTCTGGCTATTTAGCCCAGGCTAGCCTAAAACTCAAGGTGACCCTCCTGCCTCAGCCTCCCAAGAGCTCGGATGACAGGTGTGTCTTACCTCACCTGGCTCTGCTCTGGGTCTGAGGATGATAAAAAGGGGGAGATCGTCCTGTGGCTCCTGTGGCTGGAGACACAAAGCCGGCGGCAGAAGGCAGGGACGGCAGGCATTTGGCAGTGTAGCCGGGCCCTGCCTGCCTCAGCCCACAGCACGGCCCTGGGGCAGGACACAGCTTGCGATGGGGGGTGGGGGTAGGAGGGTGTAGGGGAGCTGGGTGGCTCCCCAGGAAGAGAGGGGAAGGAACAACGTTGCCATCGGTTTAGAATCAACCTCCGGACCCTCAGCCAAGTGTGCTTCTCCGCCACCTGCCCCAGAGGCACAGCCCTGCTCACTGCCTTACGTCAGCCAGGCTGGATCTGAGCAGGCCGGGCCGCCAGAGACAGCACATCACTCCGCACTCACGGATGAGGACAGCGCAGCCTCCCCGGGAGAGGGGCCTGGGAAGGTCTGTGTGGCGGAGGGAGGAAGGTCTGTGTCCTGTCACGTGGCGATGTCAGCCGCTCTGCCGGGATCACGCCGTCCTGCAGGCTCTGCCACAGACTTCCGGAGCCAGCGCAGTCTAGACAGATAGGGAGCGGGGTGGCCCCAGCTTCCACTGCGGTGAGGACACGAGCCGGGCCCAGGCTGTCACCAGTCCAGCACTCCCTGGAGAATGCCGAGCACACCCATGATCTGCTCTCCTCCCCCTGGGCCTCAGTTTACCCCGGGTCAAAACGGTGGAGATGATCTCCAAGGCTCTGTCAACGTTGCACATAGAGGTGTTCTGAAGATTCTTCCCTGCCTGAGATCCCAGCTCAAGGGGCGGAGGCAGGAGGATCACCACAAGTTCAAGGCCAGTCTGAGATCCGTAGTGAATTCAAAGCCAGCCTGGACTGTTGATCAAGATCCTGTCCAAAAAATAAAACAGCTGGGGTCGGGGATGTAATTCAGCGGTGCCACACCTGCCTGGCAAGCGCAAGGTCCTGAGTTCAGTCCCTGGTACCAGGAAAAAAACAACGCAACCACAGCAAACGGTATCATTCTCTTCCCGTCACCTGGCGGGCGTTGCTGGTACGTCTGGTACCCCCAGCTCCTTCTGGTCTCTGAGCCCCCCTTCGCTCTCGGCCCTGGGTCACAGATGGGGAAACTGAGTCCAGGCTCCGTGGCCCCAGCCTGCGGAGGAGCCGAGGGGTCCGGAGTGCTCATCGGGCTCAAGCAGGGCCGCGAGGGGAGGGCGGCAGCTGCGGCCCAGATGCGGTGCGGACGGGGCCCCTCCCACCTCCACCTCCCACTTCCTCCTGGAAGACGATGGCTCGGCCAGGCGGGAGAGGCTCCTCCTGCGGCTGTGCAGCAGGGTCAGAGGGCAGGGGCGCAGGTCACAGCCTCCCTTCCCCTCTGCACAGCTCCCCACCAGCCTTGGAGCCCTGGGTCTCAGCCGCAGAGATGCTAAACACAGGGGACATGGGCAGGCCGTGCCCGGCGCCCACACGTGTCCATTCGGCTCCACACGCACACGTGCGTGCACTGCGGGGCATCCATCCCCGAGCTTCCCGGGGGCGGGCGGGGGCCGCAGCAGTCGCTGTCCTGGCTCCTCTGCCTCTGGCGGGGTCGCAGCGCGGCCTCGGAAGAAGCCCCTCACCATTTTCACCAACGCCAGGACAGACGAGCGGAGCGCTATCAGGAGCGCAGCCTGACTCCCTTGCCGATGGTCCGACCAAGAGGGGCTTTGCGTCTGCTGGCACCAGAGACGCGGGAGGGGCCGGGGATGAAGGCGCTGTATCCTGCACCTCGGCTCCCAGGAGGCCACAAATCCTCGTGGGAAGAGCCTGGCCCTGCAGCGGGTCCCCGGCCTCAAGGCCTGGCGGGCCTCACACCCCAACCTCCCGGGGCACCGCCACCCCCGCCCAGGCCACCTGTCCTCCACGGGAGACGGCACAGGGACTTCAGGCAGCCGGGGACCCAGGCTGTGACAGCCAGACGCTGCTAGGCTCCGCCCTGACTCCCTGCGGGACATCTGTGGAGAGGGGAGCAGCTGGCTGCTCAGGCCATGGGGTCAGATCAGGAGTCCCTGTAGTGCAGGCTTGATCTCAGAGCCACGTGCTGTCAACAGTGCACACCGGGCCCTGTGCGGTCAGAGGGTCTGACTCGGGGGGCCCCCGCCACGCCCCGACTCCGTCGCCAGCCTGACAGCCCCCCAAGCTGTCCCTTGGTCCTGGGAATGTGCTCTGCCCAGAACTCACATCACTGATGCTCCGGGCCCAGTGAGGCTCTCTTTTGTGGCCAGAATCTTTGCCCAGGTAGGACACAGGGGTGACCAAAGTCGCACGTCAAACGACAGCGGGGTGGGTGGGCCTGGGCCTTCTTGTCCCACCCACGGGTTCCAGCCTCCTGCAGGAGCGGCACACTCTGTCCTGAATGAAGGGGTGTGTGCGTATGTGCACTGTGCTCACGTGTGTGCACACACGTGTCCATTACGTGTGCGTGATGTGCATGTACATACGTGTGTGTGTGTGTGTGTGCAGGGAGCTGGGGAGGAGGGCAGCAGGGTGGGTTTCTCCGAGTACGGACGTCAAAGGCACACAACTAGCCCTTGGTTCCCAGACACTCAGCCCCAGCCTTGCTTCGGCCAGGTGTCCCCAGGGCTCAGGCGGGATCCGCACTCCTAGAAAACCGGGTTTAAATCACCTTTAGAAACACAAACAAAAGTACACGGCTGTGGCGAGCGCCTTCACCCTACAGGGCTCCCGGAGACTGGGTGCCCTTCTCAGAGCGCAGGATCACAGGGTACTGGGAAGCCAGCGGCTGTCCCCAGCCAGCAGGCACCAGCTCAAAGGGGGCCGTTCCAGAACTCTGAAACCCTGCTGAGCCTGCTGCCTTCCACAGCCCAGGTGTGGGTTCCGTCTGGACAGCCCAGCCCTGCGCCCACAGCTGTCCTGAGGAGATGCAGTCCGGGCCCGGTGAGGCCCGGTCAGGTCAGGTCTGTCTGCTCAGTGTGACGTCGCCCACCGTATCAGCGCCCAGTCTCTGATCAGGTGGCCCCGAGGCTGGCGGGCGCAGCAGGCCATGCTCAGAAGGCTGAGGCTTCTCTGGCTTGCCCTGGGGTCCGGGTAGCGGGGGCCACAGAGAGGCTTGGTGCTGCAGCCGGAGTGTCTCCCTGGCTACAGGGTGGGGTACCCCCTTCCAGCACACAGCCCCCTGGCCTGGAGGTCTCTGGTGGCCTAGGCTGCACTGCACCAGCCCTGCCTGACGGTCCCCGCATCCAGGAGGAGCTCCTTGGAGCTGCAAAGCCAGGTGACATCACATTTAAAGTACTGAGTAGGTGTGGGGAGAGCCCAATGCCACGGTGGCCGGGGAGGACACAGTGGACATCCGCCCGTCGGTGGCCACAAGGGGCTCACGATGCAGGGTCCTGCCTGGGTCGTCCAGAAAAACAGCTCCCTGCAGAGGACAGAGGGAGGCCCCGTAGGCTCCTGCACCCTGGGACTGTGGTGTCGGGGGTCTGCTCGGGAAGTGGGATCCCGCCTGACACCGTTTGCGAGTGGCACGCTGTGGAGCCAGATCGGCGGCTGGGTCCCAAGCACAGATTCTACCCCCGCGTCTCCCCTCTGATCCTCCGCCTTCGCTCTCAGCACCAGGAGTCCTCCCGCCTCAAGGCTGCCTGAGAATTCCCAGCCTCTGCTCCCAGGAGCTCCCTGGGTGGCCTGGCTTTGCCCTGGAGGGGACATTGAGGGGCAGCCCGTCCAGCGCCCTCCATCTGGCCTTGGTCACTCAAATGCACACACTGAAGCGGGGCCAGTCTGGAGAGCACAAAGAACCCCGAAAACCCCGATGACGTGGGCCTCGCATCACCATCACACTCCCCGTGTTACGTCACACACCGGAGGTGCCCTCCTATGGGTTCTAGGCACACAGGAGCGCTGCTGCCTAATGCTTCCATGGAAAACACTGGGCCTTATTTATACCTTAGAATGAGCCAGGCACCCCTGGAGATGCACCCGTCATCCCGGCATTCAGGGAGGCTGAGGCAGGAGGATCGAAAGTTTAAACCCAGCCTGAGCAACTCCATGACTTAGCAAGATCCTGTCTCAGAATAAAAAATAAATTTTAAAAGGCTGGGACTGCAAACAACAAAACACGACATATACCTCTGAGCGTTCCTGGTCCGCAACTGCACCCAGCACGCTGAGCCTCCGCCCTGGGGATACTTGATGAGCACAGCTGGGCCCAGCCCAGAAGAACCCAATGGTCAGTAGCCCAGTTTAGGGTGCAGCACTTGCATATTATGCCCAAGGCTCGGGCTCTGGCACCTTGGTGGCGGGGAGGCGTTTTTGCAAGCTGTGTAAGGCAAACAACAAATCAGGCTGGTGGGACAACATCCTAGAGGAGTGGCCGGCAGGGCTATGTTTAGAGGCATTGCCCTGAAAATCAAGGCAGTGCACGCCTCTAATCCTAGTGCTGGGGAGGCTGAAGCAGGAGGACTCCAAGTTTGAGCCCAGCCTATGTAACTTAGCGGGGTGAGATCTGGTCACAAGACTAAAAATAAAAAGGAATGGAGAGAAAGCTCAGTGGTAGAGACCCCTAGTTGCAGTCCCCAGCACCAGCGGGTGGGAGGGCGGGTAGAGACCTCTGGATAAAATCTCACTCCTTTCCCCATTCAGACACAGACTTGGGCCAAGAGCCCACCCTGGCCACGGAGTCCTTGCAAGAGACAGAAGAAGTGCAGCCTTGTGATCACCCCAGTACTATAGCTCTAAGCCCCTGCTGACTGGTGTGACCACCATACCCAGGTACCTTCTCGCCCGTGGTGCTTTTCTTCTTCTGAATTATTTCCTTGGGACAAATTCAAAACCCTCTCCTCAACTCTGCTGCTGGCACATCCGAGAAAAACAGGTGACAGCGAATCCCGCGGTGGCAGTTAGGCCGGCAGCCCGCACCCACCTCCCAGAAGCCCCTTGGAGGTGGGCCAAGGGTGGCGTCATTGCCTGCAGGGGGGGGGCTGCGGGGGGCGTGACTCCCTCACCCACGCGGCCGGGCTCCTCCCATCTCTGCTCCCTGCGCCCCGCCCTCCAGCCACCTTCCCAAATTGAAGACAGATTCATCCCAAAAGCATCAGCCACCCACGCGGCTACATCACCCCAGACCCAGAACTGTTGGAGCAGCAACAAGGGGGAAAATTCCACACCAGGACACTGTTTCATGCAAGATTATTGAAAATGTTATATGAAGTTACCTTCATCTCAGGGGCAGCAGCACACACCTCTGTCCTGGCCAATCTGGAGGCTGAGACAGGAGGATCTCAAGTCCAAGGGCAGCCTATACGACTTGTCTCAAAAGGGCCTGGGTGGGTGAGACCCTGGTTTGATCCCAGAATCCAAAGAAATAAAACAAAAACTCTTTTCAGGCTATGTACATAAGGCACGTAGGAAACAGATGAATTTCCCGGTAGACCTGGGTTCCCCCCCACCCCATCTCCTTCTGTGCACAAATATTTTGAAATTGGATAAAAATTCCCAAGCAGCCTGGTTCCAACATCCTAGATAAGGGACCCATAATCTGCAGACATTTTGTTCCCCTGTCTGTGTGTTTTCCCAGGGAGGGGACTGGCAGCTTTCACCGGACCCTTGGCTGGGCAGAACTAGGGCAGCGAGGGGAGGGACGGCGGTGGGTGAGGTCCCGGGCACTGGGGCGAGGGCCAGCCAAGCACTGGAGTTTGGGTTGTGCACTGTCCCAGCACAGCATCTTCGGGGGTAGGAGGAGAAGAACTTGGCTCTCACAGACTCCTGCAGCAGCTCCTGGGGTCCCTGACACCTTTGGGGACGCCCGAGCTGGCCATCCTGCTCACTGTGCAGACGGGAAGACTGAGGCCCACGGGCTCTGAGCTCCA